CGTCCAGGCCCTGTGAGGTGGTTTTGTCTCCTGGCCGCCTCAGCTTTTACGCCACAGCTAGAAGGGGCTTGCTCGCTGGTTAAGGTCTCAGAGGCACTCGGTGGCTCCCGGCAGTGTCCACGCGCGTGGTTTGTTTCATGCTTATCCCCTCAAGATTGGCAGATAGGAGCCAAGTGTGCAGCTAGAGGGAGAGTACTTGCCTACCTGCCCGGCGAGCTTGAGGCCCAGTCCCCAGCACTGCCAAAGAAAGACCTCTGCAGATCATTTTCTGGGCGAAAGACTGAATTTGGGTACGTTTTTCACATCCGTTGCTGTCAACCTGGTTATGTTTTGGGAGACGTTTCCAGTCTACACGTAAGCCTTGCTATCCTCTCCCATAGGGAAAATGAGTGGCCACCTAAAGAAATTGCCCATTATCTGTGTGTTAAATTATGGATTACTATATTTAAAGATTATATAACCTACTGCAGTAATGGCGAACTTTTTAGAGACCAAGCACCCAGACTTCAACCCCAACCCACTTACTTATTACAAAATGCCAACACTACATTACACCTGAATACTGAAGTTTTTTAGTCTAGGAGAAACAGCTCGTCCACTTGGCTCATATGCTGCCAGAGAGGGCACTGCCAGCCCACCGTGGCTCTGTGCCATCCTTTCGCTACCACTGACCTATTGATTATCATTTAAGAACATGAGGCAAGACCACCCGAACAGATGCCGCACAGGTTTGTGTGAGTCACCGTGAGTGGACAGACTGCTGTATGTGTAGCAGCCAGGGCTAGGTGACAAGGCCTGTGTCAAAGCGTGTGTGGCCTGCAGAAGAAGAGGCAGAAGAAGCCATCCTCGGTAGGCTGAGGGATAGCACATCATCTGCCGTCTCCCATGTGTCAAGGAAGAATCAGCAAACCATTCTTCTAGTGGCATGCGGCTCCAGCAGTGGCTTGTCAGAGCTGAGCTCGTCCCTCCAGCTTCTCCTTGGCACTTCACTGGGTCCCCAGGGTGGCCTGCACCTCCGCTCTGCCACCTGTTGCCATCTAACAGCCCAAGGGACGGGGGGCCCTGAGCCCCCAGCCTTTTCCATGAGCTCCTTGTTGGGTCCTTCGAGACCGCCGAGGTCACATGCAGATCAGGAGCACATCTGCCAGCGGCCTGAGTCCCTTACAATGCAGCTGGTTTTCAGTTTGGTCACTGTCAGTAGTTCTGCAAGGCACTGTTTTAGTAGTCTTGTAAAATTTATAAGATGAGCACCTCACGTCAGAGTGATAGATGGCTGCTGGAGAGATCTGTCTTTCTTGTAACTGCAGGTTCCATCCGTCTTCTTGGGAGTCCGTGGCCAATGAAGAGATGTGGCAAGCAAGGTGACTGTCTTGCATTTGTTTCTTTGTCTCTTTTAAATGTGGCAGGGAAGTAGCCTATGGCACTTCGCATTTTGAAAGGACTAAAAACACACGAGCAGCTCTTTTCTTTGAGGCATGTAAACAATCTCATTTTGTTCTCGTAACCATGTGAGGTTACTGACCTCCCCCTTGTCTAAAAGGGCAAACTGGGGGGCCGGGAGATGGCTCAGTGGAATAAGTGCTTCCCTGGCAAGTGCAAGGTCTGAGTTCAATCCCTGGTTCCACCAAAAAAATAAATAAATAAGTAAAAGGGCAAACTGGAAGGAGAGGGCCAGGCTGAGGCGGCTTACTGCAGAGCCGGAGTCTGAGCTCACGTCCTCTGGCTTGGAGTGCGCTGAACTCCTGTGTTTCCTGTTGCTAGTAAACCAGAGTGAGCAACTGAGACTGAGTAGAAGCTGATCGTGCACCCGTCTTGTTATAATGTGCCGGTGCTTGTTCAGCTGGCACCTATTTAGTGCTTCCTGGAGACTGGGCCGCGTGCCGTGCACCCAAGCCACGTGGGTTTAGAGAACAGAGTTCCCGCCCTGATGGAGCTCACGGTCTGACGGCACATACTAGTGGAAAAGGGAGATCACACTGTTAATGTGCCAGATGCCGGGCTTGCCTGGCAGATAAACTGGCACTTCATCCTGTGTGGATCACTGTGTAATGACGCTTCCCTTGGATCATTGTCACTGTGTATAAGTAATGGGACAACTTACACTAGCAGATCTTGCCCTGAGCGTACAGGTTCTAAGTAGTACAGGCAGGGGGCCTTTTACATACAGTGCCTGGGCTACAAAAACACACTGATGCCCAGTTCTCTGCTCCAGAACTGAGTTGCAGTAAGAAGGGATTTTGTAAGCTTAGAGATGCTCATAGTCAATTGTCAAGAAATACAGCTCCGATATAATATTAAACAAATGAGTGCACAATGGTTTGTGCAGTAGTGTTTATTAAAAAGTCAGAAGGAGAGCTGGGGAGATAGCTCGGTGGTCTAAGCACCTGCCTGGCAAGCACAAGCACCCGGTTCAATCCCTAGTACCACATACTATGCCAGCGCAGAACCCTGGGCACACCATGCAGGCCCTGAAACGGCATGGCGGCCCATGCCTGTAAGCCCAGCACTGGGGAGGCTTAAACAGGAGGATCACTACAAGTCCGAGCTGCATAGCGAGACCCTGTACTAAATAAATAAATACAAAATAAAAAGTAATGAATAAATAAAAATAAAAAGTCAGAAGGGACACATTTCCAGGTACCAGTCCAGCTATATGGACAGACACTGAAGACCTGATTGAAGATAGGCTGTGTGTTAACACAGTTCTTCACCGTGATTGACTGCAGGAAAGCAGAACAGAAATCACATAAAAGAAGTGTGCAGGGCATTATTGGGGTCGGTATTGATTTAATTGGTGTGCTGAATGCAACTTGAATGAGTTCGTGTGCTCAGAGAGCCCAGTCATCTTTGCTGGCCTAGTCATAGGACTGTGTGCAGGACGTGCAGCCCGGCTGCTGCTGCTGCGGTGGCAAAACAGTAACGCACATCTGGACAGGCCAGCAGCGACACTGTGAAGTGCCACGCGTCCTTCCTGACAGATATGGTATGCATATGAATGAAAGAATAAGAAAGAATGCAAAATAACACAGTAAATAAAGGCTGTGATAGATAGCGTATTGGTGGAAAATCTGGAGCAGTTAGTCCTGAATGAGAAATGGAGGAGGCAGCTTTAATGAAGGTCTCACTCCCACCGCAGGATGAAAACCCCGTTCTTCATCTTCAACCTGGCAGAAACCGTGAATGTGCCTTCAGATGTGAAAGCTCAGCTCTATGCCCACGCGTATAACGTATGTTTTTCTTTTATGAAGAGGGGTATTGGGTGGGGATGGAGAGGGTGTGTAGCAGGTTTTTGTTTCCAGCTTAGTTTGGACATTGTGAAGCAGTGTGTAAGGGAAATACTCTGTGTTCTCTCAAAGTCTGGAGTAAATGGCCATAGTAGACAGTCATGTCCCCCTGCAGAATGTCTGGTGTCCTAAACTGCAGAACCTGCAGCCTACATAAGGAACACAATGGCTACCTACAACGGCAGGTAGTTCTGGCAGGTTACCCTCTGTGCAGAAGCCCAGGCCCTGACTGTACTTGAAATGGGAAGGCCATGGCTATTGAGATTTCATGTGTAAAGGGTTTGCAGAGCGGTGCTATCTTCTCCCTGTGGCCCCTCAGCTAAGCAAATGTTCCCCGCACACAGCCACCCAAGGCCCTTGTGCAGATCCTGCCTTTAACCAGGAAGGGGCGCATGGCTGGAGGCTGACACATCTCTGCTTGCCAGTGACCCATAGCACTGGACTCTTCAGCTCCTGTCTTGGAGTCTGCTGTGTAGGAAACACACACCCTGGCCAGGCCCACGCACAGAGGCCAGACAGTGTATGGGAGCACCAGGTCCTTCTCTCTGCCCAGCCATGAATCTTCTCCAGCTTCACTTGGGGCTGAGTCAGAGCAGCACAGTGTCTAATCAGTGTGACTAAGTCTACTCCTAAACTTAGATCCTTGCTTTTATTCATTTGTTCTCCACTCACGGAGCACTCACTGAGTCCCCTCCCCTGGTAGCACACACTGTGTCAGAGGCAGGCATTTTGCTCCTACCATCAAGAAAGGTAACAGCGAGAGGGAGGCAGAGGCAGTTCCTCAGTACAGTGCAGGCCTAAGTGTGTAGAGAGGCTGTGGGGCAGCGCTGGGCTGAGCCAGCTGGGCTGGGTGTCACTGGGCTGTTGTCTGAGTGACCAGAATGCTCTCACTAGACAGATGGCGGGGCTGGGAAGCCAGAGAGGAGGTGGGCATCCATCCGGAGGAAGCCACGGGCACATCCCCTGGGGGCAGACTGGTCCTCAGCGCCTGCCCCACGGGCCGGGCAGGTGGCAGCCCAGGTTCCTGGCCACTCCCACTCCGACATGTGCTGTCAACTGTGAGTCATTTGACCTTCCGAGGCCTTGATGTTTTTCTTTAAAAAATATGGCTGTTAAACTGTAAAATAGTAGCTCTCACATCCTGGCCATGTCGCATTTTCTCTCCTCTCTAGTGCCTCGTAGTGCTAGGAAAACAAGCAGGCTTTGAGACTCGCCCGTATTTCACATTCTCATCAGTGAGGTCTTGCGTGCCAGACCTCCTGCTCTCGGGCCATGCTGAGACTGGCCCTGTGGCTCTGTGGTGCCTGTGTGCTGTGTGCGTCGCCCTTCTCAGTGAACTCAGGCTTTCCACGTCTTCTGCCATAAGGACGTCTCCAGATGTGTGACAGGGTACAGTCGAGGCCAGTTATTAGGTGGGTCGGCACAGACCCAGTGTGGTGCTAGTTCTTCAGAAACATTCTTGCTCAGCGTTAAGGAAACTTGGCCTATTATCCCACTTCACTGCTTACACAAGACATTAAGTTCACGTGATACTAAGTTTGGGGGTAGCAAGGAGTAGCAGCTGCCTGGGAAGCACTGAGTCAGTTACGGATGTCCCCAGGAGTAGAATACAGCCCACTAAGACTAGTGTCATCATGACACACAGAGAGATGACGCTCCCCGTGACGAGACGTGACCACTTCTCAAGATCCAGCACAGGTGGCCTACCAGGTCACCAGCGTTAAAATTAGCTAATGCTGCCTAAGCCGCAGAATGTTCCAGAAAAGAGCACAGTGGTGCTGATGCCTGAAGACTGTACTAGGTCACAGTGAGCTTCTACTTCTCTTGGGCGCTTGGGGAGACAAGCACTCCAGGAAGCACTACCCCGACTAAGATTTTGAAAATTAACCATTTCTGCATGCCTGCTTTGCGTGGGCATCTGCCATGTACCTCCTTCTCAGAGGGAAGCTGGGCACCCAGAGAAAAGACAGCTTAGCGGGACTGTGGAGGGAAACTTTACCGGGGGCAAGATGGCAAGAGGCTAACCTGACAGAGGACATGGTGACTTTTTACCCTTTATAAAACTCAGATAACTACAGGAAAGTTGCTTTAAAAGTCAGCTTGATAGCTTAGCAGTCTAAAGTGCCTGCTTAGGCAAGGTTAGGCAGCCGCAAGGGACTGTGGTTCAATCTCCAGCACGTGCCATGCCAGGCCTGCCCTCAGGCCCAAAAAAAAAAGTCAGCTTGAAGGCAAAGACATATTAAAATGATGTTTCAACATGGATTTAGAGTTTTGGACAGACACACTCAAAATCTGTGCGCATTTATCTAATCTGGAGTAGGAGGAGCTGGAGGAATAGATGAATGCAGTTGGTCCCTTTCAACTTAATGATTTCAGGAATATAGTTCTAACTCAAAACCTTTGGCCCATAGATGGTGTCACTACCGTGCTGTTTCAGAGGCTGCTAGAATGTTCCTGGGAACCCGGCTCACACTTCACAGTCCCCCTGAAGGCTGCGAAACTCCCCAAGAAGCAAGCATAGTGCTTCGCTTTGTGATTTTCCTCTGCTTTTTGTATATGCGTTAAAATTTCATGGGTTTCCTTTCTTCAGTTATTGAAAATTATACCTGTGCCCAATCAATACTGTCTGATGTGGGAAAATCAAAATTCTGAATTTCTGTGGCCACGTTTTAACTCTCAGGATTGTAAATGATAGCAGTGGCAGGTAGTTGGCGATTGTCTCTTGCTGGGGCTGCTGCTTACCTTCATTCTGGCCTCCTTCAGGATGGGGTCATTGGGATTGTTCTGTTGTCCTTACTACTGTTGTTTTTAACGTCCAGAGAAACTCATGTAAATAATGTGGGACAAAATTTAAATTCCCTCCAGCTCTTTTGCCACACGGGCTTCTAAAGGAAGCTATTTTTTTCTCCAGCAGCTAAATTTAGAGTTTCAGCCTCTCTGCCTGTTGAGTAAATAGCTTTCCATGAGTGAGAGCTAAATCCCTTTCCCAGAACATCTTTCTGGAGGAAGAGCATTTTGTCCTGACACAGTGTGTGTCAGGTTCCTCCTGCAGCCCCCGAAAACCCCAGAAGCAGTTTTAGATGAAGCATATTTGCCTCCTGCTACTGTAATAATTACAGTAACATCCTGCATTTTCTGCATGGCCTAGCAATGATTAGATTCTTACTGTAGGCTGCTTGGCTTTTTTTTTTCCTCTTATGCTATCAATTCCTCTGTTTTCTGGGGTTTTTTGGGGGAGTGGGGCTAAGTCAAGGGATAACAGTGGAATACCAATATTTATGCTGTTTTCCAGCTTTATAAGGAGATTGTCTATTTATGGAAGAAACACCCAGTGAACTGGCACAAAAACTACGCCATCGCCTGTGAGCGGATGCTGCGCTTTCCCGAGAGAGGCGCTGATGCCGAAGTCCTGTTGTCTGAGACCATCAGACATTTCCGTCTCTACGCTCAAAAGGCGCAGAGCGACCCACAACTCGCTGACATTTTAGCTGCCCTCAAGGACCTAAGAAAAAAACTGCAAAGTTTGAGAAACATGAAAAATGTCAGAGACAGCAAAGTGTGAAAAACCTGCTCATCATTCAGCTTCCAAGATTCTGAAGTCCAGAAGTTTTTCCCTTAAGAAAAGAAACAGCAAACTAAGTTATTCCCCAGATATAAGTAACCTGGTACAGCAGGACCGCCTCATCAGTGTTGGGTGACCAGGCTGTGGCGCTTAAGCAAAATTCTGTTTACCCTTCGTCACCAAATTAGCATTTCTGTGAGCAGCTTTGGAGAAGAGCCTTCCTCCCTAGCACCACCGCCTTTCAGGGCAGGCCTGTGCCTGCCTCCACTTTAGAAGAGAGGGAGCTGTTCTCATTGACTTCAACTACTGACCATGAATCTTGTCAAGATGGTGCTTTGGGGATCAGTTTTATAGGTTAAATTCTTAAAATCTTCATACCAAAGAGATTTTGTTTCCTGAAAGTGAAATTTTTTTTAAAAAATGAATCATGTTTTCCTTCACATTTAGAATTCTTTTTTAACAGCTGGCAGGTACGCACCAAGGAGTTAATATTCTGAAAAGCTTGGAGGTGTGTTGTCTTAGCTGGTTCTTCAGAGTCACTAAAGAGAAAGGCTGATTTGGTGTACAAAGTGGCAAGTCAAAAGCATTTCATATTCACTTAATTTTACATTTATATTTTATTTCTATTTAGACTCACAAATCTAGACCCAGTGATTAGTAGCTTCCTGCTGCCCAAATACAAAAAAAAAAAAGGGTGTGTGTGTGTGTGTGTGTGTGTGTGTGTGTGTGTAGGGGGTGGGGGGATGGGTGGTTCAAGAAATTAATTTCTGTTACAAGCATCTTTTATACCTATTACTAAAGAGAACATAGTAAGAAATGCAAATAATAGTTCTTTATTTATTATGACAGTTAATTAATAGCAACCTGTTTTAATGAATAAAGTCACTCAGAGTCCTTCAGTACTTCCTAAGTAGAGGCCTGAATCCGTAGGGATTCTTTCCCCCGATTGTGTGGCTCCTAGACTCCAGGCCCTATATAGGCCCCTGTATAGAAATGCTCACTAATGAAGAGGGAGGGCTAGAAGCTTGTCTGCATTCAAAGATCACTGGTGAGTCATTCAGCAAGAAAAGGCCCCTTACCAGGAATACTCACAGTTCCGTGGCATTGTACTAGCAAAAGGGTCTGATCAAAGGTCTCCTGCGGAGCTTGCATGGTTCCCTTTCATACTACGACCATAATTAAAACCACTAATTCTCTTTTAAAATGCTGCAGGATGCCATGTAGGCATCTGTCTGGAGTGTCCTTTGTGATGTCATAAGCTGTTAAGGACCAGTGCCGAGGGCTTTTGAGCGAAATGCCAGTCATGAAGGTGCTTCAAGACAAGGGTGCCTCTAAAAGCTTGACAGGCCTTGACTGCACAATTCGAGCTGAATTTGCCCCTTGTCAGCTGCCAGTAAATAAATCTCAAAGGGGGAAAAGCTGAAGTTTCATTACCTGATCCATGGGGCTTTGTTGGTTTTGGCATCACACAGGGGAAGCTCTTGCCCCTCCATGCTCTGCATTTGAAGATGTCCACTGGAGCCTGCAGTGCCTGGACAGGGTTCAGAGCGGAACCTTTTGAAGAGTGTCAATAGTTGTAACAGTTCAGCTGTTAGGAAGACAAATAAATGGAGGAGCTCATTAATCCGCTTTTGGCTCTCGGTGCCTTTTGCCCTTTTATCACAGCCTTATTAGGCTCCTACTCATCTTGAACCAGAAAAAAATGAATTGAAGTTGTTGAGTACTAATTGGCAGAGACTTTTAATCATGGGCCAAGAACTTTCACTGACTTGAAAGTAACTTCTCCACAGGGAGGAACCCAAAACCTGGGTTACCTTAAAACAAAAACCTGTTGGAGTTCAGTGTGGTGTAAAAATTTAAGGAAGCGTTGATAAATTGTCTAAGTTTATCCATTTGAAAGAAATTATGGCAGAGTGTGATTTCCACCTTTCTGGGGGACAAAGGGTAATAAATGAAAATGATCTAGTCATATGTCGTTTCTGTCGGTTCAGAAAAGAGATTCAGGGCTGTGCAGGTTGACTGCTTGTTTTGGACATGTGCGTGCGATTCATCTGAGTCCACCTACGAAGTGTCTAAAGTCCTTATTAAAAGTAGTATTTCCTCGTCTTACCCTTAAAAGTAGCACTGAAGGCCTCTTTTTGATACACCGTTTTCAGGGTGCCGCTCAGTGGAGCCCCACGTCTGCGTGGGCTTTGTGTACCGACTGTTGTCAAGTGGTACATGGATTATTAGGGATTTGCACAGCAGTGGCTTTGAACCACTGTCAGAGAAGGCTGTGATAAAGTCCAGAGTAGATAGGACTGTAATTATATTTAGATTTCTAAAAAAAAAAAAAAATGGGCAAGTGAAAAACAGTGAGCTGAGCTGAAATAGAGATGTTGGGCTTCGTTCCCATGCTAGCTGCTTCGAAGAATCCTTTCCTTCCCTTTGTACGACACCAGGCGAGTCGCATCCCCCTTTCTCTTGGCTAGCACACACCACCATAAAATAGAAGGGGGTTCTTCAGTTCAGCCTCCCGATGTTGAAGGGATGTGAAGACGGTGACTTCTCACACAGGATTTGGCTGGCCTCCTCCGAGCAGTGTCCCAGGAAGGCTGTGGGTTGGCAGGATGACAGGAACCCCACAAGGCCAACTTCTGCCTGGACTTTGGCCTGGGGAATGAGTGGGAGCCAGCAAAATGGTCTGGCTTCCCACATGCCGCAGTGCTCTGCTGCCCTGGCACGGGGCTGCTGAGCCTGAAGGCCAAGGGAGGGCACTGTGGCTTCAGCACCGCCCAGCGACCTGGCTGTGTTTCCCTGCCCCCTGCCCATGTGCATCATTCTTGGGGTCCACTACCCTTCTTCCTTTGTTTTCTTAAAAGGACCTTTATCATGCAGCAAAATGGAAAGAAATCAATTACTAATGTAAAAACCTCGAAAAACTTACAGTAGAAATTATGAAATGTTATTTCTGCCCACATTCTGAGTGCTTTCTAATGATGGAACTATGATGTTTAACTTTTAGGATATTTGACTAAAGCCCATTTTGAGTTTTAAGGTTACTGTTATGCTACCTTAGAGATAATTTGAAGTCTTCAAGCTAGGATGTGAAGAGTAGACTTTTAAACTGACATTTAAAAAATTAAATAGTTGGAGTCCTTGATTATAATTGTCATCAGTATCCTCCAAAGTTAAAATTTAATGCTTTTGATATTTGGGAAAAGTTTTAACTCCAGAAGTTGAAAAGAATCCTATTCCACCAAATTCTTTTGTTCCTTTTTGTGTGTGTGTGTGTGTGTGTGTGTGTGTGTGTGTATTTTATAAATCCAGGGTATCAACTAAAAATTCTGCTTAGACGAGAAGCTGGCTCCAAGTCTGATGGCTCCGTAAAGAAAATGATTCCAACCTGGGAAAAGATTCACACTACTTTGTATATCTTCACATTTTGTTGTGGATGCTAAACCACCGTATAGCTCCTGTTGACAAGCCAGTGCTGTGTTCAGGGTGCTAGGACTGTCCGAAGGCCAGGACCCCACAGCCAGGGCAGACCCAGCGCTGCGCCCCGCTGGTTGAGCTCAATGAAGATGTCGTGTCAGCGCCCTCAGAAGGTCTGCTTGACTGGACATGCAGGAGGTTTTAAGCAGCTCCAGGAAAGTGCAGTGGGCCTTCGTGCATATAGGAAAGCAGCTAGCAGGAGGAAATCCTGAAAAGGGTCCCCTCACACACACCGGAAAAAGAAATCTGTCAGCTCTTTACTGATATATTGCGCGTGCTGTAGGCACCGCGTACTGGCAGGACTAGGTCCTGGCCTGTGGAAGGAGGAGCAGCATAAGGTTCTGACACTGGAAAAATGAACCCAGCTGTCATTGGCCCCTCTGTGGAGTTCTCTTTTCTGCAGATCTAAGATGTTATGGGTGAGGTTGGATTTTCAGTAACACAAACATGGTGGTAGTTTGTAAATGTGGAGTTGGTAAGGTTGAGACAGTTGCAAAGTAAAGGTGATGAACACAAAGGCAAATAAAGGCTGCACTCCTCTCCCATGACTCAGCTTCACAGAGCAGCCCGAAAGCCCAAGTCTTGCTGGGCCTCAATGCCATTAGGTGTGGCCAGTGTTGAAGTATAGAATACCGTGAGTTTGGTGTAAGCTGTATAAGGGAGGGAGGTACAGCAGATGGGTGGGGAGTACTGTATTGGCACTGGGAAGTTTTTTATAAGTACCTGTGATAGACTAATAGAGATTATGAAGTATGTACTGTTTGGGGAAAAAATCACTATTGAGAAGTGTTACCTGAAAGGAGTTATTTTGTAAAGGAACCTTGAAAAGGGATATATGAGATTTCTTTCAGTGGAAGGAAACGCTCCCCTAGATGTTTGCACCACTGGAAGTACCCTTAATAGCCGTGATTTGGTTCGAACTGAAAGAGCAGCAGTGCTGGGAGCTGAGAACCGGTTGCTCAGCCCAAGGAGAAACACCCGGCCCAAAACCTCAGGAACCTCGGAGGATGACACTCCACTTGAGGCCCTGGGGCGCCAAGACAGTTGTGCACCCAAAGGGGGCAGCAGTGGACCCAGGGAGACTGAAGGAGAGGGGGGCAGACCCAACCCCACAACGCTGCCATTCAGTGACCCAGCTGCTAACCCTAACCTCGCCCTCACCAGAGCTCATGCGGGAGCCAGTTCTCAGCAGGCAGGGCCGTGCATCCCGGAGGGATGGAGGTCACTTCGGAGACGATTGACCAGGTCTTCTTAATGACAAAGAATAAAACATACAATGCATCCGAGCTAACAAGGGCTGATACTGTTTCATGAAACAGGTATATGCACATGTATATGTATAACGTCTTTTCTACTGTGTATGTGTGCTTATGTATAACACACATAAGCCTATAATTGTATTACTAGGTCACAATACAAAATGTATTTATTATGGAGCAAATTAAAAAATAAATTTGAAAGCCACTGGCTCAGAAAAAACTAATACAACAGGGTTTGTAAGGGATCATTTGGTATTAACTATCACAATTAGTGCAGTTCAGCACATGAAGAGACCAGGTCCTGTATGACTTGAATAATGTCACACACCCAGGCAGTGGCAGACCCGGAACCAGAACAGCTCTGGCTCAGGCTGGTCACCCTGCGCCCTTCGCAGTTAAACAAAAGCAGCTGGGTCCAGCTCCACTCCATAGCATGGTAACGTCTTCAAACGATGCTGCCATGTTTAAATTACAATCAACTTTTCTAGACGTAAATGGTGTGTGAAATCGAAAACTATCACAGGAGTGTGTTTAAAAGTCATATCCATTAGGAAATGCAGAGGACTGTGATTTAATAAAAGGACTTGACTTGGAAAAATAAAAATAAAAAATAAAGAGTTTGAGAAGTGGTGAAAAAAAAATAAATAAA